AAAACATTAAAAAAAAAAGTGGAAAAGCACAATTTGGTTCAAGAGAGATAGAGAGAAGGGATGGAGAGAAAGAGAGAGAACATGAAGTTGAATTGTAGGGAGGTGGGGAAAATCTGTAAGGAGTTGAGGAAGGAAAATTACGATCAAAATATTGTATGAAAAAAATTAAATATAAATTAATAAAATATCTATTGGTGATATTGGGGAAAATCTCCAAATGTAATAAAATGACTTTTTAAGTTACAAAAAAAAAAGAAAGAAAAGAAAAGATGGTTGGCAGCACTCATGCATGAATGGATGCCCATTTAATCTTCCAATTCTGTTCCCCCATGCAGAAATGGATGCCCGTTTAATCTTCTGATTCTGTTCCCACTACAAAAAGTTGTTGACTACAGATTGACTTGGACATACATACAAATTTTGCAGGGTTAAAACATCTAATCACCAAGTTTACATCATGATTCCGTGGCCTGAAGAAAATCTCAATTAAGACAGTTCTTAATTCTGCATTAACCTTGCTGACCTCATGTGTTTATTTTTCTGCTTTGTGTAGTCTATGCTATTTTGTCAATGTGACCTTAATCATCTCCAGATTTGTCAGGTGCTGTTGAATACAGTGTTCTAAAAGGTTCAGGGCCCAGGAGCTCCAAGGTGCATGCTCTCCTGGTTGGGTAAATAGTACCATATCAGAAATTCCTTTTTTGATTTGTTAGCTTAATTTGGGGAGACATAATTAGTTTTTAAAAACCAATTCAACTTTAAATAACTTGTTTTTTACAATGAAAAGTAATTCTTAACTTTCCATCATCTAGGTATGCTCTTTAGTCTGTAATCTTAATTTTGTTTATTTGTGCATGCGAATATTGTGATTGTTCATTAGCATCCTAGCTCAGATCATTCTTGCTCTTTCAGAAACAAAAACTCTGTCAAAGACAACCATGTTACCTTTTGAAAAACATAAAATTTCTGTTGTGCCGTTCCATAATAGAGAGACCACAGTTGACAATCCTTTACTCAGTAGGTCTTAAAATGCAAAGATTTTGAACATTCCCACCATAATAAGTGATAAATATTTGGAGACATAGATATGCTTAATCTGAAACATTATACAAAATGTGCAGGTATTAAAACATCACAACACTCTACTAAAATATGTGTAATTTTCTGTTTTTACATATCAGTAAAATAAATTTAAATATTTCCTTTGCATACTAAAAATCTCATTTAGGTAAGTATAAACAAATATATCTGCATGCACAGTGACATATATGCATATATATATACATATATATACACACACACACAAACACATCCATACATTTGTATACACATACACTTACCTTTTTAAGCATTGGTGGATTTTTTATACCTATCTACCATCTTCACAAGTGAAACAATGAATATATTTGTTATTGTTTTATATATATATATACATATATATGTTGTTATATATTTAATATTTAAAATGAAGGCAGCGATGGGTCTTTGTAATAGATAATTGATTATACTGTAGCCCTCCATCCCAAAGTGTAAACAAAAATCACTGACAGATGAATTTAACATATAAGTGTTTATAACAGAATTTTATTTTATCATGAATTCTTAAATATGAAGCAAGTAAGCAAATCAACATCTTAGGAAGAGCAAAACAGATTCCTCCTAAATTCTGAGAAGAATTCAAAGTGGCAAGTGAGAACATATATAGTAAATTGTCCCCAAGACCTTTTCCATTGTAAATCTGACAGAGTTAATCAATGACCTTTACTACTATAGGCACCAGTTGGAACTAGTAACTTACCTGCAAAAGAGCCAAAGATAAGAAATAAGTGAAGGGATAGTCTATGAGATGAAAGATCCCTTAAAAGTTTGATCATGAAATACTTCTACCTACTGTGATATGCCTTTCAGGGTATTAAGCTTGTTAGAAATGTGGATTCATGCATTGAGACACATAAGTAACAAATGCCCATGCAACCAGTTCTACCCTATGTATATTCTTCTACTTTAGTTGCTTATAAAAGGTGCTTGTTAGGTATTGTCAAGTGAAGAAATTTTAATAGCCAAAGCTTTAATATCCATCAGCTTTGGGTATTTTATGAAAAACATCTGTATAGTTAATTCCATGTCTTCCTTTTTCATATGGATCACATTTGGCTATAGAATCTGTTAGGATTCTGTACATGTGCAGCTTACGGTTTTGTCTGGTACCTTACATCATCAATGAGAGACTGCATCCCAGCCTTAAAGCCAGACATGCACCCCAATGTTCTCTCTCTCTGCACTTGTCTTCCTGTGTTTCTCTCGCTGTCCCTGCTCTGTTCCCTCCACCAGGCCTGGCTCCTCCCACCCCATCCCTTCATTAAAGCTCTAAAAACTAATATTGGGTTCTGCTGTGGCTGTGACTCTTCCTGCGACCAACCAGCACCATTTATCCTTTCAGAATCCTCATGCATTGACTTTAAAAGGGCTTCTCCAACTCTACTGGAAATGTTATAAAACAGAACAGAGTAACTGCATCATGTCAGCTTTCTAAACTCAGAAAAAGTCTGAATTCTCAAATCTATATGTCCCCAAAAGTTGGAGTGAGAAATTATGAATTTATAATTAATTTAATGGTATAATCATCATTCATATGTTCCCAATGAGACTATAAATGTGTGCTTCTGTAAATGGGAGAATGGCAGGCTAGCAACATTTATCAATAAACCAAGAAAGTGCTGCCCAGTTGGTTTTGGATAACCAATCTGAGGACTCTTCCCTGGAAAGACTATTTCTCCTGCTTTCAGCATTCCTTAGTTTCCAGCAGCTCATTGTCTAGGGTTGGTGAGCCGTGAGATTGCACCTTCCATGTTGCGTGTCATTCTTGTTTATATATTATTTAGGCAGTCATGCTGTTGAGACTTCATGAGTGTAGCTTCCCTGATATCTCTAGGGAACACAATATTACAGCAGACTTTCTAGTCCTCTGGCTTTTACAACTTTTCTGCCCTGTTTTCTGCAATATTCTCTGAGCCTCGGGTGCAGGAGTTGCATAAGTAACATTATATGGACTAAGCAGCTTGTTATCTATGTATCAGTGTAAAAATAGGGGCTAGAGGCAGTGAATTTGAGAGAGCAAGGTGGGTGTATACGAGAGGGATGGGAGGGAAAGGGGGATAACAGAAATGATGGGATTATATTTTAATATCAAAAAATAAAATAAACACAAAAGATCACAATTCTTTAATCTAAAATTCTACCTCCAAGAATTTACCATTACTAACATATTCAATAGAAAAATAATAAAAGGTTTAACTTTGTAGTGTGTCCTACACAGATGGTTCATATTATAGAAAGTTCACCATAGTCAATAGTAGAAGACTGTGAACGTCTATAGACCCAAGCCATGACGGGACTACTATTTTGTGATATTTAAAGTGGTATCATGCAGTAATGTTCATACCATTGATACTTTGTCAAGTAAAATAACAAGCTATATAATGATATTCACTTTAATTAAAAATTAGTCCATAAACATAGAAAGCAATTTGAAATATATTCACCAAAATACAAAATATTCACAGTGGTTGTTTCTGTATGGCAAAATTGCTGATAATTATATTTTTTCCAATAACTTTGCTTTGTTCATAGCAATATATGTTACTCCAACAATAGCACTGTTAAATGTCTCTTAACATACTACAGACATGCAAATACATAATTAGCTTTCAAGTTATATAACTTGAAATGATGGGATTTTTTTTTTTTCAAGACAGGGTTTCTCTGTGTAGCTTTGGAACTCACTTGGTAGCCCAGGCTGGCCTTGAACTCACAGAGATCCGCCTGGCTCTGCCTCCCAAGTGCTGGGATTAAAGGCGTGCACCACCACCGCCCGGCCGGGATTATATTTTAATTCAAAAATAAAATAAGCACAAAAGATCACAATTCTTTAATCCAAAATTCTACCTCCAAGGGTTTACCATTTCTAACATATTCAATAGAAAAATAATCAAAGGTTTACTTTGTAGTGTGTCCTACACAGATGGCGCGTTAAAGATTAGGTTGAAGAATTGTGATCTTTTGTGTTTATTTTATTTTTTGAAATTAAAACATAATCCCATCAAAGTTATTTAACTTGAAAGCTAATTTATGTATTTGCATACCTATAGTATGGTAAGAGATATTTAACAGTGCTATTGTTGGAGTAACATATATTGCTATGAACAAAGAATTAATATTTAGCAAGGAAAATTAAATGTTATTTATATTTGTCAGACTTTATTATGAAGCCTCAGTGTACATAGAAAGTAGTTAGATAGTAAAGCCTTTGTTCTAAACAGCAAGCGTTTGCCAATAGCAAAAATTACAGTAATCGATATTCTCAGTGTGAATGTACTAAAATTAAGCTTAGAGAATTAGAAATATTCTCAAGAAAAGTACATTGGAAATTTTAGACTTTTTTTTTAAAGAAACTATATCCAGCAAGCATCTTAGCAGTATCAAAATTCTGACCCATGTGGTGGGAAAGTCACAACACGCTACTAACTACCTCGATCAATTGAGAATGGGGAGCATCTTTGTTTCCGTCAGCATGAACAATTTGCTATCCTCAGAAATATATTTTGAAAATATGGTGTTTATCCCAAAATGATCCTTTCACAACGCAAATCAATACGAGCGTGGCATGCACTCTGAGGAAAGTGGTTTGCATTCTGTATTGCTGAGAGGTGGTAACGTGATGAGGTGCTAGCCTACTGCTTGGCAGGAACAAACAGCCAAGCCCAGCAGGAAATCTGTAGGGAAGGGAGATTTGGTTTTAACTACCAGTTTTCAAGTCAGTGCTGCTTATAACTCTCACAATGTGTCTGAAATTTGGGCGAACCCTGATGGTTTTATTCATTTTATTCTACTTGGAAGACCATTTCTTTAATCTATGAACAATGAAATTATATTACTTTTTATTTAAAAATTGTGATATACATTCTTTATTTACTGAAAGAAATAACTTTTTTATTTTTCAGAGCTTCCATATGGCTGGGAAAAAATCGATGATCCCATATATGGCACTTACTATGTTGAGTAAGTCTCTAAGCGTGATATTAACTTGTTATACTATGTTGTGAATTGTGTTAACATTTCATTTATTGAGCACATGTGGCTATAGTCCCTTCGATTCTCTTCCATCTCTGAGGTGTCTGCAAAGACTCCAGTGGCATGGCCAGCTGGTTCTTGACTCTGCAGCTGCCTGATGTGTTATTCCTTTTCTTTGACTCATGATTCTGCAACATCAATTGGAAAAGTGTGTCCCACACTGTGAATGAATGATAATTAAAGATATTGTAGTGAATGCCTTTTATTTTGAAATCAAAATGTTGGGAGCTGGCTGCTTGTGCAAAGAGATGTTCTATCATACCAAATTTCAAATTCAATTAACTGAATCAGGCATGCCTCCCACTGAAGGAAAAGATAAAATGTTGGTGCTTTCTCGTTTGTAGGACCCCGCAGTGTGTCTGCAGTGTTCTTTCAGTACACTGCACTTTTATGTTACACACTGGCTGCTGCATCACATTGACATAGCTGATCATAGTTTGAACTTTCTCCATCTATATATTGTTTAATTCAGACTAGAGAATCTACTAATGATTAGCTTACTTACACATAATTTTTCTTAAGAAAATAAAATATTCATAATTTTCTAAAATTAAATATGTCATTTACTTTCCATTACACTCTCTTCTGATAGTAAATGTCTAACTCTTATCTATCATGTGGTGCTCCTAATGTTATTTGGGCAAATCGCAAAGCCTACATACAATACTACCCAAGAAATTCAGTGCTTGCAAAACCAAAGACTTTCACGGTGTTTATCAACATTGAACTTTTTCTCCTCATCATAATCCATGTACAGTAATAATCGGGACAGTCAAGGGTCACGAATTAATGACTTTCTTACTAAAGTGTGTTGATAGCATTCACGCAGTCATTGGTTTTGCTAGGTGTCAAGCCCTTCTTTGTGCTGCAGATGTTCAGATGAGCAAGACTTGTGAACCCCACTGCCCCTAAGCCTAACCTGCATGAACACTTGTCTCAGTTACTTTGACCCCACCCCCATGTTGGAGCATCTGGAGAAGCCCCAAGTTTGGCTCCACAGTTCATCATTTCCATATTCACAGTCAAGGTGAATTCAACACACTTACTATAAGCAGTTTCTAACATAGTGTTTACCCTCTAATGTGGGGACACTCAACAGCTGTAAAAAGTAAGATAAATACATAGAGTTATTCCTGATTGCAAAGAAGAGAGAGAGAGGCTGAAAGGGAGAGGGAGAATTTCATTTGTAAATACTTGCATGGACTCTGAGTCCTATTAAGCTGATAATCAATGAAATACTTATTTTAATAGTTGTAAACTTTATCCTGAATAAATTGAACAGTATGCTAAGTATACTACGCCCTAGCTCGAATGCTTGTCTGTATTTGTTTGCCATGCTCAGATTAAACCTATGGATTTTCACATCTAGGAAAGTACTCTACCACTGAGTTCCATACTCAACCTTCCCAAATTGTCTTAATTCACTTAATCAGGCCACAGTGTGCCTCAGTGTGTGGCACCTAAAGTCCAAAGAGTTTCCATATGATGACAGAGGACTGAGATGTGTGACATGCCATATCTCTTTTTTAATACATGGTCTCGTGGAATCAATGAACAATGATCCTCTCCTTAGTCCCAGTGTTGGCAAACTCCATGAAGATCCAGGTAACAAATATTTGGGAACTCTCACAGCCTCGTCTTTCTAGTATACAGGCAAGCACTGGCATCACTTTCATGTGGGAGGGGCTTTACAACAAAGTATTGTTTACAAAGACAAGAATGCAGGTGAGGTCCAGTGTGTGAGTCTTAGTTTGCTGATTCCTGCCTTCTTCTACCTCTTTAGATCATTTCTTCATGTCTTTCTTCATGTGCTTTGAATCTAATTTCCAATGTGCAAACAGCATTTAACTTAAACCCCTTCCCTCTGCCCTACTCACTTCTCAGGAATATGATAAGCATCCACACATCAGAAAGCTGATCCTACCTACCTGATCTTCATGTGAAGGCCTGTAGAAGGTAGACTCTAACAGTCAGCCATTGACTTGGATACAGACTATATCTTCCCCCCCCCCAAAAAAAAAAAACCTCTCTGTTAATTTTTTACTTTGAATTGCTTTTTATTTGTTTTTAATTAAGTTACGCTCTTCTATTTCTCCACTTCATTTTCCATTTATCACAGCCATGGCTAAAAATCTATTCAGAGTTCAATCATGTTTGTTCACTTAGGTCAGAAAAACGAGTCTGAAAATTCTAGGTTTCAGTTGATTGTGAGGTCACATATACAGGTCATAGTGAGGCAAAGTAGTTGACTTTCCTCTACTAGGTTGAGCTGTGCTGTTTTGCATAGCCTCGTTATCACAGAACTCTGGAGAGTGCACCAATACTAGTTACTAGATGTGTGCCTATGCAGGCCAAGCAGAAAATTGAAACAAATAAGCAGATAGTCCAATATGCAGTTAACACTAAGTCAAAAATTAATCAAATATTTTCTGAAACACTCATCAATGTATTTTAAATACCTCAAGTTATTATATGTGTGTTATCTTATATATCACACATATATGAGAGAGAAAGTGTGTGCATGTGTGTGTGTGTGTGTGTGTGTGTGTGTGTGTGTGTGTGCTGCCTGAAGTAAGAAATGTCTTCCATCAAAACAGAGAATTTGTCATATATTTTC